TGTCACTCAATATCCTCCTTTTGCACCCTGGAAATATATTCACGTTACGGTGGATACCTTTTCAGGATTTATTTTTGCAAGCCCACAGCGGCGGGAGACAACCAAACAAGTGATCAACCACTGTATGCGTTCTTTTTCAATTTTAGGAAACCCATTAGAAATTAAAACAGATAATGGGCCCGCATACAGTAGCGCTGCATTTGCTACCTTTTGTGATCAGTGGAAAATTGTCCATAAATTTGGCATTCCATATAATTCCCAAGGACAAGGAATAGTAGAGAGAGCAAATCTAACATTAAAAATGATGCTTGATAAGCAGCAAGGCCCCTTTAAGATAGGGCTGCCTGAAATCCAAAACCGCCTGAGTAAAGCCTTGTATACTCAGAATTTTTTAAATCTTACAGGCTCGCCTATAGCTTCCACAGCTGCCGAGAGGCATTTTCAGAATAGCGTAGTCTCTCCCCGCCCTCTTGTTTATTACAGACAATTGCCAGACCCTCAGTGGAGAGGCCCCGTGGAGCTCGTTACCTGGGGACGAGGTTACGCTGCCGTGCAACTTCCGGACAAAGTTTTGTGGGGTCCTGGAAGATGCATACGACCGTTTCATGAAAAACCGACAGAAACGGGTAACACAAAGAATCCAGAAGCAAGCCTGTCACTTTTGTTTCAATCAACAGATTACTAATCGGCTTTTTGTGGCCAATGTGCTGGTTTTGCCCTTGCCCCTGCGAAGCCTGCTGCTGCTCTCATTGTCATTACTGTGTGCTTTGCACTCATTGCAAGTTTCCATGTGACATTGTGATAATTGAACAGTGCCTTCAGGAATACTTTTCCTATACCAATCCTTTTCACACTGAACTTCGTATTACGCCAACGGTACAACAGGCCATCGACAATCCATTTTATAACCATTATCACGAAGGATCTCTTGATCCCTCTTTTGACATCTTGTACTTAAGATGAAAATCCGTCCGGAACAAGTCATTGGCCGTTCTTATGTCCCAAGAGCACGACAACCACGGTGTCCCTTTTTCAGAGGACCGTTGCCTGGACAAGAAATGGGATTTTGGGGTTTTTGGGTCCTTCCGATGTCTTGTAAGCATTTTCTGTTGCATCTTTTGCTAATGATGTTGGGAATGGGAATTGTACTTTTAATCATATGGGGGGCATTTGAATATGAACACAAAAATAAGAAAGAAATAATGGAGGATATTCAAGAAATTCCTTTCCCACACAACCGCTCAAAAAGAGCGATAATTCCATTCTTTAATGGGGAAAATTGTAATTCTCAAGGGATATGCATCTACCCTCACAATACATACGGAGAAGCCAATACACAAGTTACTTTAACTTGTTATTTGAAAAATCCAGCAGCAGCGTGTTTAATTANTCTTTCCTAGTTATGGAATGGAGTGGGGCGTGACAAGGGCCATCTCTAGGGACTCTTTGAGGGTGACCGGAAAAGCAGCAATATTTGCCTTTGGTCACCTAGATGATATGAAATCTGCCAGCACTTCTAACTTTATTTCTATTAGACAAGAAAATGGAGAACCATATAGTACCTTTATAGAGAGATTGCAGACTGTAGTAAATAGAGAGATTGATAATGCTGTAGCCAGAAAGGAATTAATGATAAAACTAGCATTTGAGAACGCTAACGAAGACTGTAGAAGGGTTTTGGAGCCGTTAAGAGGGGATTCAACAAAGAGGCTGGTAGATTATTTGCGCAAAGCCGCGGTGGTGGGGTCAGCCGCATATCAAGCACAACTAATGGCTGACGCATTTATGATAAGTCAAAACAGTCAAAAACCTAGGGGACCAAGGATGGGAAATGGTTTTAATTGTGGAAAGCCTGGTCATTTTAAAAATCAATGTAGAGCCCCGGGGGGGGGGGAGCAGGACCGCCCGCTAAGAACGAAGGAACCCGACCAAAAACACCTTGTCCAAAATGTGGGAAAAATGGCCATTGGGCAAGAGAGTGCAGAGGGAAAGATCAGAGGGAAAGTGAGAATAGACAACAGTTTTCGGGAAACTAGACAGCGGGCGAGGTTCCAGCCCGCTAATTAAAGGAGCCACTTTTAACATAAATTGTCCAGATTTCAATTCCAAAAATCATAAATCTATAGTTTCATTACCATCTGATAAACCAGAACCTATGGCTATAGTAGCCTCTCCTAGAGAACCGGTGGATTTTGCAGAAAAGGAAGCAATTGTGCAATCAGTGGTAATTCAAGCTTCAGAAACAATTGAAATGTTTACTCCAGGATTAGTGTACTTTTTGCCATTAAATATGTCAGCGACTCATTTTCCACCAGCAACTCCCTTAATTCTGTACCCTCACAGGGATCTTATATCCTGTAAGGTTTTGGCTTCACCCTTTTTGCTTGAGGACACAGATATTTCCTCTCTAGCCTTGGCATGTATTTGTAGCAGTCCACTCACAGTCAGAGCGGGAGAGGACGCTGCTATTGTAATACCTGTTTCCTTAGAAGTCAATCCCTACGAATATAACCCCCTGAGGCATTGTGAAAAAATACCTTTGGGAGATTTAATTACTACCCATGAAAATTACTTTACTACAGGAGTAAAAGCTCAAAAGCCATTTTTGACTATAATACTTAATGGAATTCCCTTTACTGGAATTTTAGATACTGGCGCTGATGTGTCAGTGATAAGTTCTGCACAGTGGCCCTCTTCTTGGCCTTTGCAGACTGCCGCTGCTGTTAAAGGAGTAGGAGGCGTCCAGCTGGCTCAATCCAGTGCGGAATGGTTAGAGGCTTCTATCCCGGGTTCTACGACCAAGGCACGTATTCGTCCGGTTGTTTTAAAATTACATGTTAACTTGTGGGGGAGAGATTTGTTGTCTCAATTTGGGGCAACCTTAACATTGGAATAAAATGGATCCCTTAATGAAGCTTACGCTAAAAGATGACACTCCCATATGGATTGACCAGTGGCCACTTCCTATTGTTAAATTAGAAGCTTTAAAAGAAATTGTGCAACAGTTGTTATTAGATCAAAAAATAGAATTATCAAATAGCCCTTATAATACGCCTGTATTTTTAATTAAAAA